GATTTCAATGAAAATCTCTCACATTCTCTTTAATCAGTGACTATACTGCATGTTTTCAGTTTATGATTTTCATATCTAATAAAATATACCAGCTGAACGTTTGAAAACCTCAGAAGAAATAACCATCAAGAGGGTAGCAGACATCCAAACATTAAAAAACAAAAACAAAAAACAAAACAAAACAGAGGGAAAGAAATAAAACCAAAATACCAAGAAACTCCCACTGATAATAAATAAAATAAAAATAGAATACTGTTTTGTGAATCCAAATAACTTTCATTTATACTCATCACGCACACCTATATAAACAAACAAAAAGAAAACTAACACTGATCACCAAGGTGTTTTATTCTGTTTTATATTTATTTCTCCTAGACATACATTCATAAGATTGTATTTTAAGCAACTGTAGTTTTATACCTCTTGTGTACTGTTTTGTACCTCAGCATCATGTGTCTGAGGTACAAAACAGTACACAAGAGAATACACCAAGAGGTAATACTGTTCCTAAGTGCATTTTATCTTTTGGCTCCCTCTATTCATTTGCATAAAGGCTCACATCAGTGAGTAGGATTTTTTTTTAATATCAGAAATTATTTCTCAATATACCAAACAATGCTACTTTCAAAAGGGCAAGTAGTTGGTATATTACAACTAGCTTCAATGCTAAATAGTCCTTGATTGCAAAATATGCTATTTTTTAATAAAAGGATCAAGTAATCATTAATTTGGAAATGTCAAAATGAAGTCTATAAGAATATTTAAAATGCATACTGTGAATGTTTCTCTCCATCATTTGTTTCTAATTATTTAATACAGAAAGTGATACAAAATAACAAGTCTAACCTATATAGTTATTAATGGTAGAATTAAACTTGGTAGGATCATGTGCAAAACACAAAGATAAAAGTCACAGTCCTTTCATGTGTGTTATACTTACTTCAATGAGTAATCCTAACATAAAAGAGTAAGAGTGAGTCACAAACAAATGTTTGAGGATTGCACCTTTATTTACTAAGTGTTTGCTTGTTTAGAAATATGTTCACAATTTCCTTGGTATTCTGATATATTTTGAATAATATTAATAAATATTGTAACTCAAAGGGACAAAGTCTGTTCTGTTATGTCATGAATTTAAGCTTTCTATTTTAAAACCCAAACATTAGGAGAGGGCCATTAAAAAAAAAAAGAGAGAACCAAGAAAATTGTTAAGAGGATTTGATAGGACCAAATTATAAAACCAATCCTGTAAACACAAAAACAAGAATTTAATAGGATCCAAATCTAATGTGTCATGTAACTGATAAGTTTTTAATTTTGTAACAAAATAGCTAAGTTAGTCCTCACAAAGTACACATTTACACTGTATCTTAATCACTGGTATGTTAAATACTAAACACTTTGTAATCCTTTCTTTTTAGCCGATGTCAAAGTTACAACTATTTTTAAAAAATCTGAAGTTAAAATCGCTCTTATTTTGTTTCTATTGTTATTTTATTCATATAGCACCAATAGTGTGCTATGGTATCCTTATAAAAAATTAAAGAATACATCTAGATATACATAGACATTAAATGGACATATAGGACTAGACAGAAAGAAACGTATTGTGCACTATTCCCAGGAGTTTAGTTAAAAGAATAAGTCTGCCATATTTAAAAAAAAATCTCATGTAAGTGCACAATGCATATGAAATTCAGTGATCACTGAATTACTGGCAGTCAAAACATAAGCGACCACTATATATTTTAGTTCATTGCATGATTCCTTAATATTTTGACAGTGAAAATTACACATTTCGTTCATATATAGTCCAACTATATCAAAATATCAAGTTTTATCTACCAATATAACCTGCATATACCAATACAAAAAAAATCCTCAATATGTTTCAAATATTCTAACATTGCCTACTTGCAGCACTCTATGACTAACATCTTTTCTTATTTTGAATGAAAAGCTCAGATTTCTGTTTCATTCAGTATAGACATTTCTAATAAGCTGACAACCCCTATTTTCCTGGGTAAATATATCAAAGCCATAGTAATGATATTTATCAAACCCCTGAGATTCTATCAGAGACACTGGTGAAATCTTCTGGGTTTTCTTTACCACAAAAGAGGTAATATTTTATATCACTGTATTGATTACATGAATTTCTTGAGTTCTGCATTTAAGATACATCTCAAAAGAATGAAATTACTGACACAAAAAATTCACAGGGCCATGAGGGTGACAAACAGCTATTGATGAAATCATAAACTATGCTAGAGTTTTTTGTTTTTACAATCCCCCCCCCCCAGCAATACTTAAATGCCACTTTATATCAGCTTTTCAAAATCAATGATAAAAAGGGGTTCATGTAAAAAAAATATTGGGAAAATACTTGTAGATAAGTATAACAAATCAGGCATTAAACAGCCTTTAATGTGTCAGCTACTAGTACTCCTTTCTTTCCTTTCCACCCTTCAGTCCTTTTCTTTTTTTCCTATTTGTTACCTGTACTATTTACATCTTAAATTATTTACACTCACAGATATTCTCACTTGTGTCATTTTCACTTCTTCCCCTTTACACTATTCACTGTTGAGAAAATCATCATCACACAAGCATTAAAAACAGCATCCTAGCATTGTTTTCATCTTCACCTGTTACATCATTACTCTTTTGAGTCCTTTTCTTTTTTTCCTATTTGTTACCTGTACTATTTACATCTTAAATTATTTACACTCACAGATATTCTCACTTGTGTCATTTTCACTTCTTCCCCTTTACACTATTCACTGTTGAGAAAATCATCATCACACAAGCATTAAAAACAGCATCCTAGCATTGTTTTCATCTTCACCTGTTACATCATTACTCTTTTGCAAAACA